GAGAGAGTGCCCGAGGGTGCGCAGGAGGCATTGCATGGATCAGGAAGGGTGCACAAGGGGGTGCGAGGGTATGAGCAGGTGCGCAAGAGGTTCAGCGCAGGTGGGGAAGGGTGTGCAAGGGTGTGAGGGGATGCATGATAGGCATGGCATGGGTTGGGGAGGGTGCACAAGGGTGCAAGGAGGTGTGTGAAAGGTATAGTGTGGGTCAGGGAGGGTATGAGAGAGTGCCCGAGGGTGCGCAGGAGGCATTGCATGGATCAGGAAGGGTGCACAAGGGGGTGCGAGGGTATGAGCAGGTGCGCAAGAGGTTCAGCGCAGGTGGGGAAGGGTGTGCAAGGGTGTGAGGGGATGCATGATAGGCATGGCATGGGTTGGGGAGGGTGCACAAGGGTGCATGAGGTGCAGCATGGGTAGGGTGCATGAGGGTGAGAGAGAGGCACAGCACAGGTTAGGGAACATGCACAAGGGTGTGAGGGAGGGTTGGGGAGAATGCACGGGGGGTGTGCAAGGTTGCAAAGGAGGTGCAGCGAGGGTTGGGGTGCGCAGGGATGCACGAGTGGCCGGCACTGCGCAAGCACAGAGGGGCTGGGGGAGGGTGCACAGGTGGGGGAGACTTACCCCAGTGACTTGTGACCTTCCCTGCTGGCTTCCCCACTGACTTTCTGGGGAAGCTGCCAGGGAAGGTTGCAAATGGCAATCACATGATCCAGTCATAAGTGCAAACCAGTTGCCAAGTGCCCAGATCACAATCATGTGACTGTGGGGGTGCTGGGATGGCTGGAACTCTGAGGACCGGTCGTAACCACCATTCGTTCAGCACTGTCATAACTTTGAAAGGTCACTGAATGGTCATAGATCATGGACTACCTGTAATTAAATGTATAGTTAGCTGACCTATTCATACAGCTGTTTGGTAAAATCTGGAGAAGGCCAACTAACTACCTATAAATATGTTATTTATGTAAAGATTTGCTATAAAACCCCAAGGATTTGGCCAGTTTGGGAGAGCTCTCTGTCTCTCTATGAGCAAGGGCATTTTTAGAAAGATACACTTCCAATCTGAAAAACGACCAGGCAAATATTTATTCATTCTGAGTTGCTAAAATGTTTAGGGTTTCAGATGAAGGCAGAATCAAAACAAAGCAAATTCTGTGACAAGTTTATTTCTGCAACCTGCATATATTTTGTAAACTGAACATTTACTATCCAGACAGAACAATCGAGTAGGACCAAGTAGGGCCAAAGAAACTGTCATGAAAACATGATCAGAGTTATTCAGAACTTTGCTTCAGACTTCACATTCATCAAATGTGGAGTGGAACAGCTCCATTAAGGCCACAACATTTGTAAAAATCTTAAACATGCTTAACTAGATCAGGCAAGTTTGAAATAAACCCACAAATATAGCTATCTTGGAAAAAAATATATAAATGTTATCCTGCTCAAAATTCAGTGACCTGTGTTCTTAAATTGGCTGCAGAAGAAGGGAAACCATTTCTTTTGGAAACATCATAAAGTATGTGCTCTTTCTCCAGGTTGAAGCATTGGATTCGCAGCACAGGGAACATCTCAGTGGAGGAAGTTTGATGCTTTAATACATCACTAGGGGATCCTTAATTCAGTCCTCCATCACAAAGTTTTTAAAAAGGCTTAAAAGTAAAATCAAACTCCTGAATGTTAAAAATGTCAGCACTTTTGAATAAAAAGAGCAGACAGTAAAAATTAATGTCAGAGAACTTTAAATCATCATGGCATGGTTTATTCAGGGACATATAAGGCTGAATTCCTCCAAGAACTGAGCACTACTATTACAGTCAGTCAACTCTCTTTTCAGAAGACTTTTAACAGGGTGGACAGTTCAAGCTCTATTTTAACAGACACATGAAATATAAATATTAAGTCATCAGTATATTAGTAACATAAATAGGACACTTCAAGGAATACTGCCCTGTTCTACATCCATGTTGAAAATATATGGCAAAAAAAATGTTTTTCCTTACATACATAACCACACTGTCATATAAAAAAGATGGTACTTATTCACATTCAGGAGAGAAAAAGAAAACATACCAATGAATTACTACTCAACAAATTATGTATTAATACCAGTGTGAATTGAATTAATAGAATAGGAAGATAGAGCCAACAACAGAGACTCATAAAGCTGGATGAGGCACTGTTGGCTTGAGCCAATGTCCAACTCAGTGTTTCTCAATCTTGGGAACTTTAAGATGTTTGAACTTCAACTCCCAGAATTCCCCAGCCAGGAAGCTGGCTGGGGAATTCTGGGAGTTGAGCTCCACACATCTTAAAGTTCCCAAGGTTGAGAAACACTGGTCCAACTTATAGAAAAAAGTCTAATGGTAGAGCATCCCTAACTGCATGCCAGCCTCTGCTAGAAGATCTCCAGTGAAAAAGACCTCACCGTCCTTCTAATTAATTGCTTCATCAAACTTAAATATCAAATATTCAACTGAAATCTATCATATTGTAACTTAAGCCTAGTAGATCTGGAACTTCAAGGGCAACAGAGAATTGCATGATCAATGAAAAAAAATCATAACAACAATACTTGCATGTTTTAATTGTTAACATTTTGTTTAGAAATGTAGCAAACCCTTGTACAAATTGTAATAAGCAGGTTATTTCATTTTATTTTAAATTTTAAACTGTGCTTTTGGAATATTGTTAGTTGTCCTGGGAAAACTTTGTCTCAAAGGATGGCTTATAAATAATAGTTTAAATTGGTGCAACTGGTTTTATTATACAATTACTGACTTAAACATTTATGCATTTTGTTCTGTTGTGACAAAAAAACAGCTTTACAAGTTGCTGGAGGGCTGTGAAACAGCAGAAATCCTGCATGTGAGTGGAATAAGGGATCCATATGCTCTCTAATTGTTCTCTTTCCCTATATCATTTTCCCTATATTGTTTTCCCTATATCCCTAGAGTGGTTTTGTTTCTGGCTTTAAGGGTTCTTTTTATTGTAGTATTTTAAATGAAAGAAAAAGAAAACATACATAGAGACAGGTCAGGTGTTTCCTTTCAAAAGCTTTTGAACACTTGGACAACACATGCCTAATGTATGAAAAGAAGTAGAAAATGATATATAAAATGATAGATAGATAGATAGATAGATAGATAGATAGATAGATAGATAGATAGATAGATAGATAGATAGATAATATAGATACAGTATATTCATCTTTCAGCTTACAGACATGTGCATCAGCATTTGCAAAGCTGGGTTCACAGACCATCCCCTTGCCTGTTACGGTTCTTAAAATGTTATACCTGCCCTAGACTCAAGAGATGTTCAACCCTCTCCATAATGCAGGATCTGCTACGTAGGATCTTGTAACACAGATCCTTCACAAATGGTTGCCCAGCCTATTTAATTCTCTGCAGGAGTGTTTCTCAACCTTAGCCACTTTAAGATATGTGGACTTCAACTCCCAAAATTCCCCGGCCATCATGAATTGAAGTTCACATATCTTAAAGTGGCCAAGGTTGAGAAATGCTGCTCTGGAGAATGACTTCTCATCAGCGTCCAGGACAGTACAATAAATTGTAACATAAGGCTACAGATAGTCCTCAACTTATGAACATTTGTTCAGCAACCGTTTTGGAGCAAGAAGATGGCGAAGATCAGCTGGGGCAGCAGAACTCAGGGCGGCAGGGGACTTGGAGTGCAGGGTGGCGAGGGCAACTGCGGCTGGGACTGGGCTGGGATGGCTTTAGCTTCCTGGGGCATGGTGGTCAGAAGGGCAGAGATGGGGGGAGAAAGGCAGGTTGGGGGAGTTGAAGGCAGTCCCTTGGCTTACTGAGGCTCAGGGCTGGGTGGGACCAAGCCTGAAATGGCTTGGCTTGGGGTGGGTACTTGCTTAACAACCCACAATTCTTGGTTAACGACAGCAACCAGGACTACCGAGATTGTGGTCACTAAGCAAAGCGGTCACATGACATCTTGCTTTACAACCGCATCACTTAGCAGCAGAAATTCTGGTCCCAGTTGTGGCTGTAAGTTGAGAACTACCTGTATTCCTCCTAAATATCTATTTTCTGATTTCAATATGTAAACAGTTTGACCCCAGTAGTCCATTTCTATTTGCTTCAGTACCTGTATGCATTGTAAAGATTCCTCTTCTCATTCATACTTTGGCATTTGCCATCAACAGAACAAGGAAGAGTGAAATTTCTTGCTGGAAATTCCATGAAACAATCCCTGCTGCTAGTGCAGGAGGTTTCCTCATTGCTTGCATCATCCAGATCTGTCACTTTGAGCTCTCCATCCACAATCACAAATTGTCGAGGTCGGAAATCCAATAGAGTTACCGAGCCAAGAGGAGAATGGGCCAGGTAATGCAGAAGCTGAACTAAGCTGAAGCATATCTGAAATCAGAAAAGCCAAGTTGTCACACATGGCTTTTGTAACAGAACAATCCTAATAATATCTGTTCATTGTTAGAGACCATGGAAAATGACAATAAGCCTTCAGCCTTCTTCATTATTAGAAACAGATTCAGCAACTATGAGTGCCAAGTGTGCGCATGGAAAGTTTGCTCAATAATTTTTCCTGGTCCTTGGCATACAAATCTGGCTGTCTGATGTCCCGGGTGGAAAATGAAGCTAACATCACAGATGCATACACAAATTTCTTACGAACAGATTTCACACAATGTGCCAATGCGAACTTGCAAGATGCATTTCAAAGTCCACCTCCACATTGGCTCCATGGATGGCTCTGGCCCGTGGCTTAGCCCCACAATTCCATCTCTTGAGGGTTTACTTGGGAAACCATATGGCACAGAAGTGCCATGGAATGAACTGGTTCCTACACTGCTGCATTAAAAATACTCTTCAGTTGCAAACTATTCTGTTAAATAAAAAGTTCTAGAAAAGCTACAACTTAAAATGTACTCATTTTATGTTCAACCAGGCCTAGTGGCAGCACAGACCTCTTGAAGCAGCTTTTGCAGGCTCAGTCAGTAATGAATGATGATGTCATGATGCAAATGTCAGTTATGCAAAGATGTAACTTGTAAATTATTTGTATGACGACATCACACATATGTCATCATTTCCCCTTTTTCCTGCTGCAAATCCCCATGGTGTCAGTACCCCAGTATGGTCTACCTGCACTCTCACTTGCCACTTACCTCAGAGTGATTTGGAATTTTATTTATTTATTTATTATTTCAAATTTAGATACCGCCCATCTCACAAAAAACTGACTCTGGGCAGTTCACAATAAAACTACAGTAAATATTAATTAAAATACAATAAGAACAATATAAAATACAGTAAAAATAGAATAAAACCAAACACATACACAAATAATAATATCTTCCAA